TATCAGGTGTCCTGACAATACTGCCAGGTCAAGTCTGATTTTCCCCCGCACAAGTTTTCCTGACTGACAAGCGACCTTTTCCATCCATCCATCAACCGCTCGTCTTCCCTCTACCGCACCACCATTTTTTGCGGACCCCCCTTCCCTCCCACACATCCAGCATCAGACATTCCATTTCCAATCATCATAAAATCCCCGCTCATCGCTACAAAATCCACAAACCCTCGCGTGCAGCGCCAAGTGCTTACAAGGCCAACAATCTCAGGACGTTAATCTCAGAATGTTAATCTCAGGATGTTAATCAAATGTCTCCAAAAAAGACAATATTCCACAGCGCATTGCCAAGCAAATTCATCTGACTAGAAACGCTTCTACTCTAGATCTCTTTCCCACAGTCGATGTGGTACTAGCCGTCTTAGACTCCTGTTCATGGCATGGCACTGGACAACTTAAAAACATCGATCAATCCGTAGGGGCAACTGGCTGGCGGCACGGGCAATCATAAACACAACCCCCTAGCCCCCACCCCCCCAACCCTCACTCGTTTTTCAGCAAAACACGGTGTGCAGGTCAATTCGAGACCAAGTGAATTTCCCCTCGGATGCAGTTATGTTCACTAGCAATCAAGCGCAAATATCATGGTAGAAATTGGAAACACAATGGATCCATAGTTCCGCGTGCAGCGACTGCAAGACCGAATGGACAGGATTAGGGTGGCTTTAAATCCCCAGAAAAATTTACATTATGTTAATGGCTTGCGACTACCACCCATCGGCGGCGACGGAAACCGTGACCGTTTTGTCTTCTCATGGCATTATATGCAAGTTCACATCCTCTGTTTGATTCCAGTTATATTGATGTCGACATCATTCCTTAACACAGCGGGCAAATTCCTCAATCTGGCCCTAAGCTTCCCGATACAACGATAATGGGCGAACATTCTATTCAGGTTTAAGTGGAAAATAATAAAATATACAAAAAAAGTCCATGGGCTATGTGATGTTCGACGGAATGATCTTTTAGTCATCAGCCACGACTATATCTCATACCAACCGATAATGACATACATTACGTGCAAAGATACTGGACATACATTCACCTTAACAACTATTTGCACTCGAGGGAGGAAAACGCTTTCCGCGCCGGAGACTATCATAAGGAACACAGCAGAAAGGTAAATGAGCTCAAATGCATTTCCACTAGGCTGCAGTCTTTCTAATGTCTCGAATTCGGAATGTACTACCGGTAGTAATGATAGAGAGCCGAATACGCCCATCCTTCTCACAACCACAACCCCACAGCGATCTGATCTCTCTCCCTCTCTCTCTCGCCCGCCCCCCGCCCCCCCCCTCCACCACCCCCATTCCAGTCTCGATTCGGAACTGCGTGGCATCGACAGCATCCCTCTCCCACTCAAAGCGCATTATAAGAAAAAAACAATTCGGGGAAAATAACGGCCTCCAAGCATGTGCTTAGTGCACTCTACATAAGCCATTTCCACACTCTGATCGAGACCATCGGAGCTCACAAGAAACGTACGAGCAGATCTCACAAACCCACTGATTTCAGCAGCTTCCTGCTTTCAGGCTCTTTCAGAGAATCTCAACACAGTTCTTGATCACAAATTCCTAGACATGTCTACCATACAAAGACCGTCAAGATGTGAAAATATTCTTTAAATTATATTTCACTACGACGCCCCGAGGCCTCGTGTCTATAACAACGGAGCCTTTGCAGAACAAAGTGCGAATGGCGTTTGATCAAATGACAATCTACAAAGCGAGATTTGGGATCCAGAAAACACATCACGTGCAGAGACGGCTGTACAGATTCCGAAGCCGGACAGGTTCAAGGATTCCATAACCGTGGATGCGATGTAACTGCCGATTACACGCCCACTACGAGACCTGTGGTGACAAATCACACACCCGATATTGATCATCCAAACCAGACACTTAGCCAACCAACACTACCCAAAGACCCCCGAGATTTCCCCACAAGAAAAAATTGCTTCATGTCCATCACCACAAGCATAGACGTTAATATACTGAACGCAGGCACATTGCTATGACAAAGTCCCTAGATGAATGCTCAAGTTAACCGAGAATGAGTGGAGTCAAATTCTCGTATACGAGTCATCATTCGGCCTTTGCATGCCATGCCAAATAAGAAGGCCTCTGCCTCCCGTTGGACCTTCGGCTCCAAACAGGCGATAAACCAGACACATGCTTCTGCTCGAGTACGGCTACTTTCGGAGTTCGAACACCCACCCAAATGGCTGGTGGCACCAACCAAAACGAGGAGTACGCCCTTCCGTTCTTCTTTTGCGCCCAGCCCGAGATAGCTGAGAGAGGTTCTGTTGGTTTAAGCATTTCATCTAGGGACTGAATCGGTGCAAATGAGCCAGCGCGCATTTTCAAAAGCGAAGGGATTCACCATCACGGCTATGCAACACCACGACTTTCTACGACGGACATCTCACCATCGCGTCATGCGGTGCATTGCGAAACATTCGCCTACGACCTGCCGTACCACGAGGGTCCACAAACCTATCGACGCTTCTGTACCCCAAGATCATCTAATCAAACTCCTGGTGACAACCCCCGATCAGAACAAACTTCTTAACCGACTACAGATTCTCCATCCCGCTTCATCAGGCCACCACCAAAAACCTAGGCCGGCATTACACTGAGGTCAGAAGAGATTGACAGAAAAACCAAATATTTACATCAAGCATAACAGACTCTTACAGAGGGTGCGGCGCACAGACACACGGCTCCGATCATTAATTATCGGGCTGTCAGATTCGAAGGAAGACGACACCTCTTCGTTACAATTCTGTCCGGACTTCGTGGTCACACAGGGTACTGACATTGAGACGATGGAGGCTCTTATATTGCAACGCTGTGTCGTCTTCGTTACAATTCTGTCCGGAATTCGTGGTCACACAGGGTAGTGACATTGAGACGATGGGGGCTCTTATATTGCAACGCTGTTCGACTTATTTCAGACTAGGACGGTACTAATGCACAGATTGCACCACGCCGCGCCTCATGCCATCGACTGAATGTATTCCTTCACAATAACGTTGGCGTGGCCGTCAGACCTATTTACTCACCACACCCAACTTCAGTCGACAGGTCGCACTGATCATAAACGTGGGGAGTCGTCGACACCCAAACCATCACCAGGTGTAGAGGGGAGATTGAAAATTCCTGCCGGTTCGCCATAAGCAGAGGGGAGCAACACCTGCTGAACTAATCACCCCACCCTTATAACACTGGTCCGCCAGACAAGCAAACCTCGCCCCAAAGACGTGAGTGATGGAAACAGGACCAAGTCTCTCCTTGCGGCCAAGATAGGGAGACCTAAGTCTCTCCGTGCGGGCCAGAAAGGAAGACAAGAAGCGGAGTGTCTGCACCGAGGCCTAAGTCTCCAGGTGTAGCTACGAGAGTGAGAAGCGGATTATCTGTCCAAATTTTCAAAATCTGGGTTTGAAAATTTGGACAGTAAAACAGACGCAGCATTCACCAATAGCAGACAAGGATAGCGAGGCACAAATTTTAAAACCAAAATATGGACTCGTGAATATCACCACCATTTCCAGTGAACCGTCGCTTACCGTACAGTGAAATAGGCGTGTACTACATACTATACACAGAATATTCACTCAAACATAATACCCAAACCGTACTGTCCGTCCTGTATTGCAGGCCATTCTCATCCAACCACTACCACGTGCATCAACATACATTCGAATGGTCACGGTGCGATGAAAGTGGACTTCCATACATTACAACAGATACAACGCTATCGAATATCGATCGACGTACACTATCCAATGTTCATGCATTCTGATAATCATTGATTTACTGGACAACATAGAATCCGCTTACAAAATCACTTTCCGTCATATTCGTTGTTGCATTTCGCGTGGCAAGGACAGTGCGCACCCTGCAGTGAACTCGTTCAAAACGTGGATTCGAGAGATGATCGACGCATAAGCACCGAGAGGGAAGTCCCGTGCACACCAGATGTAGAAAGCGTCCCACAGAATAGAAAAGAGTACAAACAGAGGCGACGAAGTGACCTCTTGCCGGCCCGCTAGTTCCCCCCTGTGGTCTCTCGTCACTTTGACGATGAGTTTCTCGAGTCAACGGCCATCACGTTTATATGCCTCAGCTTCAAAGGGGAACAAGACATCGGTTGGCCTCCTAGCATCAACGAACTTTCTCCCCCGCCCTGCTTCTGCTACTCCTAGCATTCATCACGTCCCCGACTGCAGAGTGCAGTCTCAAGTGTTCACTCCACACAGAAACATTTTTAGTATCAGTTAACGCCCTCGTCTGCACGACACAGATTTCCAGATGCTAGAGGGTTGTAGACTTTCACCCCTACTACGCGACAGTAGGAGATTCGACCCACCACTCGTCGGATACACGATCACGGCAGTCGCGGGCAGCAAATTCGTTTTATACTGATTCAGGTGTGAGTGCATCGCTCAGTCGAAATAGATTTGCAACGCGATTTATCTTGATAATACGAAAATTTTCTTGCCGAGAGCGGAGTCGAGAAAAACACAACCGAAAAGCCAATGACGAAGCACATCAAGCAAACCACCCAGTACACAGATCACCCAAGAACAATCAAAACCTTTCTGCATGCCCGAGAGTTCTGCTCATGCTCTGCACGTGATCTTCTACTCTAAGGAGGACTAAACACCAGAAAAAACTACCTAATCTGAACAGGGCGCCGGGACGAGATCCGAGAACGGACGCATGTTTTTCTTGTGGCTACGTGTCGTCCTGCGAGGCAATCAAGGCATCCGGACAAGGATCCATGTGCCACAATTACTGGTCTAACGGCGCCAGACTCCGGAATGCCTCCGAAAGAATGCAAGGAACAATTGAGAAGACACGACAATCTCGCATGCAATATCCCAATCCCAATTGGTTTTCTTGACAAAGTAACAGGAAAACAGACAACCACATGCCTCTGCTTGCACAAGGCTGACTTTATTGAACCTTACCCCACTTCTAGCACAACGTCGACATTTCCGAGCAGATATCATAATACACAGTTTCCTGCCAGTCGTGGAAAGCACACAATCGCACTCGCCCATTTTCGGCTTTAATCTCCGACAACAAAAGCATGCCAGTCGGAGGGGGATGCGATAGAGGAATAGGTGTAACGACAACCCTAACACCAGCCCGTCCTGGACCGCTACGTCGGCAAACCACTGCACCATTCCACAACGTAACACAGCCGACCACATGGGTCCCCTCCCTGGCTACCACTCCAACACGAACACGTATCCAGAGAGGAATGCCCTGGCGGCCATTGCCCTGCTGGATTGTGCAACTCGACACTGCATCAAGAATTACATTTGCAAATGTTACAGACACTGCTGACGGAAGCACAATACAAAAATTTGAGAGCACTTATTCCATTATAGGGTGCCGAGAAGCACAACGCTCGATGCCAACGGTTCATACACGACGCTTGTTCCTTGGACGACACGTTCCCTGGTTATGGCAAGAAGTCTTTAGATAGACAACACTCTTTGGGATTGGATCAAACGATTGGTACGACGTAGAGATGTGGAGGACGAGATAGCAAGAGGAATTAACCAATGGGTAAACGAGAGAGAACGAGTTTGGGGGGATGAACCGGGAGAGACTACGAGAAAAGCAGGTTTTTCAACTTTTATCCTCATTAGGTTTGCGACAAATAATTTAAAACACCAAAAAACAGACGGGTCGACACGTGAATCACTTCCTAGGTTTATATACTGCATCATTCCATAGAAATTCCCTCGCAAACCAGCAACAACGGACCGTACACGACTGTTCAGACATAGTCTGTGCACACGGTTAACAAAAAGCGGGGCACACACCGATGTCACCCGCAAAAATCTTTCCGGTCATTCCAACCATACGCCTGCCACCAGCCGGAGAGAGGTGGCACCCACCAATACAAAGCAACGCCATGTCAAAACGGTCGCTATAAAAAATCATTCGACCCCAACCTGGTCCACAGCAGCCCCAGTAACCAGAATACGGCGGTAAAGCATAAATCCAAAACCGTCCATTCCCTGCCAGTAGTGCGCTTGGCATCCCCAATGACAGTATTCCGTCTCCAGCTTCTCTCGAGAAAAATCGGTCTCCGTCACCACGATACAATTCACGCCCCGCTTGAGCAAAGCTCCTCACGCACCCAGCACATCACCGCCACTTCAGCTCGGCTCACGCACTCCCAGAGCACACATACACGCAGTCGACGACTGCACCCTGTCACCCTCTCGCTGACAGCTCACACACTCCGTCTCGACACGCTCGTGCACACACGCCCACAGACTACCACCAACCCTCCCTGTCCCAGCCCCTCGCCCTCTGTCATTCATTTTTGGAGCGCCCCTTCGTTTCCTCGACTTGCATATCTTCTGCGCCAACCAGGAAGACGTGCGTGCACATTCGTTAGAGGACAAGCGGACCTCTCATCTAAAACTCCCAGACCTTGTGCAGGTTGGGGGGTATTTACACCCCAAGAATTAACTCCCCTGTGAAACCCTTGTAAACCCCAATTGAAAAACCCTCCCCCCCTCCCTCTCAATCAATGGTCCTCGCCCTCTGCCTCTTCCACCCTCGTTCCATCATCTCCCTTGGGAACATCGTCACCTGCACACACGACGATAAGTCTTCTTTCAGTTTTCCTGATACGGATCGGCCCTTCATCGGTTCCTTTTCGCTTTGAATCACCGATCTTTCTTTTCATATTTCCGTGTACAGGTGACAATGTCAAACCTAAAGTGCTGCGACAAACATTTCACTCCCATTGACCCCTACTACACTTGTCCCACTCGAGATTTTCCTGACCTCAACACGATCCATTTCTGACATCCAAAGCGCGCAGTACAGTCAACCACTCGCGCCCATTCCGAAACAAATAGATAACATATCTAGCTTAAAATAAGAGAAGCCCATCTGAAAATAGCTCATTTCAACACAACAGAGATTTTCATCGCGTTATCGCTTCATTAGTTCACTTGGATTTTCTCCGCATTCACTACATTCATCCCCTCGAGCTCGTTTCAAAACAAATAGATAGCATACCTACAATCTTCCCCCGAATACAACGTCCGGTCATTATAGCTGAATTTGGTCTATCTTTCCGTCTTAATTCAACTATAATGACCGTACGTTGTATTCGCGGGAAGACTGTAGCTTAAAACATGAGCAGGACCTCTAAAAATAGTTCATTTCAAATCAACAGAAATTGAGTCAAACAAGCCCACACAACTGAGAACTACAAAACCACAAACGTAACACATACGCTTTCGTACGAAGTACCGACGAAAGTTTATTTGGCACACATCAGCAACGTGTGACACCGTCGCACAGCGACTACCCGATGAATCTAAAAAACCATCACAATAGTCGCTGTCAATTCGAGATTTACAAAACCACTTTTTAATCCGTAACAAGATTGCGAGAAACTACGTTCTCTTCAGAAATGCGTGATACATTACGAAAAAAGTGGCCTAGAGGACAAAAAAGTGAAAATCAAGATCACGAACAAACCCACGATGTCGTATTGATCATCGACATCAACATACAAATGCAAACCACAGTGTAGAAGCCATGATTTTTGATTGCTTTCAAGTCGGCAAGGATTACGATATCTCACCTCCGTCATCTTGTAAATCCGACGTCCAGAGAGTAAGGTTGTCCCGGAGGAGTTGCATAATAAGGGTGCTGTCCTTGTAAGACTCCTCGCTCAGCGTGTCGAGCTCAGCAATTGCCTCATCAAACGCCTGTTTCGCCAAATGGCAAGCCCTGTACAACGAATCCCACATTTCCACAACAGCACCTTGAGAAATCGGAACAATACCAAACAAACTCGCACGATCACAACCCAACGAAATCGCACAACTGCGCCCTGAGAAAATAGAATAATAGTTGCACATGCCAGACAGCAATCCATATCATAACACAGTCTTGACAAAACAAATACAGCCATTCAACAGACAGAGGGTACAAATTCCATCTCGCTACTGCAGAAAACCCACAAACGAGCATCCGCAAAATCGAGGATCATACGTTAAGCACGGCGATAAAACCCCACAACTCATCGGCCTTTTCAGGTCCCAGATGATGAGACGCATAAACGAAATGCCAAACTCATAACGCAGAGGTAGGTTCGCTCACCTTTCCGGGGAATTCAGGATCTCGTAATAGAACACCGAGAAGTTCAGCGCCAATCCAAGACGAATGGGATGCGTGGGGGCAAGATCGACCATGGCAATCTCGGATGCACTCTGCAAACGATAGACAACGAGCGTTATTACAACTTAACCATAATCACTGCATTGCCCACACATACCGACCACATATTAGAGATCGCTCCAGATGAACTTGACCTCGTTTTCCATTTCCATAGTGCAATCGCACAAAAACGGCATCATTCTAGGATTACGGCATTTCACGCCCATGTTCACGATTTGATGATGTGAGAGTGTAGAGCATACGCCCATGTTCACGATTTGATGATGTGAGAGTGTAGAGCATACGCCCATGTTCACGATTTGATGATGTGAGAGTGTAGAGCATGTTGTAAACGCCCATACGCTCTTAGGGAAGAGCAAGGAGGCCGCGTAACAACGTCCGCATCGAAACCATTCTTTCAATGTTACAAGGTCAATATAATATTAACGATCCACAACGACCTGTACGAACGGACATGTTACTGAAGAACAGTTAGTAACAGCTGCTGGAGGCAAATCGACAACCAAATTCACACGCGAATTACGCGTTCCACATTTTCTTTAAGTCCCATCCCTTCTAAACAACATGCAAAAGGATGAACGCATGCAGAACAAGGACGCAAACTTCGCAATTCCTAGGGATTCTGGATAGTACGAAAGTGCCAAAACATGGCGTACAGGTCGAACTGAATTAATTACTTGAGAACTTCTGTCAACTCACCTTATAAGCAATAAGAGAGTTCTCCGCGGCCTCTTTCCTCTCATTCCCACTCTTGAACTCAGCGAGATACCGGTAGTAATCGCCCTTCCTGCGATAGAGAGTCAAGGAACAATGCATGACAGGACTCCCGAGCATAACACCACGCTCACCACAAGCATACGATCGCGCTACTTAATAGAACTACGTATACAGGAAAACACACAAGCCACAACAACACAGCACAGCAAGGTTTCACTCAAGTCGACGACACGGACGTCTATCCACATTTCAGCACTATCATCTCGCAGCGAAAACGCCACCATCCGTTCACAACACTGCAGACGAAACACCACCTGGTCCGCAAAACGCTCCCTCACGAGAAAACAAAAAGCGGGAAGATAGACGACCGCTGACAGAAACACCCCGACAGGGCAGACTTCGACGCGAAAACGTAAGGTTCAGCATACATCTACATCAAATAGTACACTGCACAGCACCTTGAACCGGGCGAACGAGCGCAATGGATTGCAGTCGACCGCTGGGGGACAGGTGCGTGCTATATAACAAATCAGAGCATCCGAAAGATACGGACTACACAGATCTTCAGCAGAAACAGGAGCTTACTACGGACAATAGAACGCTCGTTTAGAGACCCGTACAGATCCATGAACTCCTGTTCCCAGCTTTCACCTCTCGCGTTCAAGTGCCCAACCCAACATAAAACCAACAGGCTGTTTCATGGTCAGACTAGAAAGGATACATCTTGAAGTAAAAGACCTTCGACTCTCCCGTATCCGAGGATGGGATCAGATTCTCGTCGATGATAGTCAAAATATCATTGCAAATGCTGGAGAGCTCCTGCTCTACTTTGTGCCTGTACTCCCGGATGCGTTTCACATTCTGCTCATTTCCCTTGTTGTCCTCCTTTTGTTCAATCGAGGACATAATACGCCATGAGGCCCGGCGAGCTCCAATGACGTTTTTGTATCCGACGGACAACAGGTTCCGCTCCTCGACCGTCAACTCCACGTCGAGCTTCGCGACTTTCTTCATAGAATCCACCATCTCTGCTCAGACAGAAGGAAGAACACACAAAAATGAGCGACAAGCACGGCTTCAAATTGTACACATGCAAATATCACAATTTCGAGTGTGGCGGCATCGTTATACACTCGTTGAACTAACCTGCATTTAGCTCCAGCACGATTCGCAATTCACAATGATCCTGACAGACGGATTGAATCAGCAGACACTTATCGTGAAAACAATCACCCTCACACAGAACATAAACCCAAGCATAGCGATAAAAAAAGCAGGGTGCAGAATCTGTAACGAAATAAAACGAGTCTTACAAACACCAGTATCGCAACACGTACGTAAGACCTTGCGTAGTAAGGGGGTAATCAAAGTCCCAAGCTTAAATCTGAGCGTGCGCAAACTTGCACACCGAAAGGAACAAATCATGCGTAAAATTGAGAACCAGAGAAACGCACAAAGATGAACATCGCAGAAGAACGAATAGAGCACGGCACGGTGGCCCGAAACAAGAGATCGCAGGATGCTAAGAACATTCGACAGAAAGATGTTCACAGAACTTCAAAGATGACTTCAAGAAAAACATTAAAAACATTACCCTACGTTGAGCTCAAATAAACAAAAAGAATTTGAGATTAACTCAAAGGCCAGAGACAACCCGGAGAGAACAATGACTATAAAGACGACCAACGAGGGATAACACGAAGACGGAACAACAGAAGATAGTCTATGAACTGCCAGATCTGACAAGAAAAATTGTATGTAGGAAAACGAGGAAATTCTAGAGAAGACATACTAGTGGATCAAGGAGGCGAATAAGAGTGCCTTCGTCACTCAAAACGACGAGATCGGCGAATATTCGAGAAGCTTTCATCAGAAACCGGAGTGGTACAATGTCATCCACATAGACGCGGAAATATATCGCAGCAACCGGGAATTAATAGACTATCGTGCATTTCAGCATACAAAACTTGCAGAACAGTCGCAAGCAAGACACTACAGGAACAAATGTCACAGCATGAAAAGAATACCGCGAGCGATGTCGTGCATAATTTCAGAGTCGGCTAGAAGAACACGGGCACCAGAGATATGACGAAGCCAAGAGCTCGATAACAAACGTCGAAGGCAAAGACTTGGAATACGTAGTGCGTACATGCAAAGACAACTGAATACATCTGCTATGTGAAAATGCGGGCGCGCGCAGTACAAGGAGCCACCGTTGTCAATCGTGACGGTCACGACAAAACGGGGCCGTAAGCCGTAAGAATCTACTAATATAAGCTCGCCGCAACAACTTCCAAGCTATAAAAATATGGAATTCACCGTAAATGAGATATCCACGGACTCAGTGAGTTACAAACATTCGCACACAAGGACGTGCACAACCTGTAAAAGGCTGACAACCGAAGATAGGGATAAGGTCAGTGCTAACGCTCCAATTTCGGGTTGGCGCGTGAATAGCATCGGCTCCACGACTAACGTCAGGCACATCCAAGAAGGACATAGAACCTGCCGTAACCGGCAAGTCCACACAATGACGGCCTCTGCCCGTACCGTAAAAGATTGGAAACAAAAAGCCGGCCATGTTGATTTACACTATAAAGCCACGAAAAGCGACAACGCAGCACCCGCAAACAGCAAGATGATGCGCCCGCAGATGCAAAGAGACTGAAAAATCAGCAAACAAGGCGAGACTACCGACCCGGTCAAGGAGGGAATTCAGCAACTGCGAAGCGAATACCCACCACAACCCCCAAAGGTGCGACGCAATGGAGAATTAAAATGCAATAACCAGAAGGAAGAGATCAGTCCAGGAAGGCATCGGGAGGAGTGCCGACAACCACGGGGGAAAAAATAACCACGGTGTTCGAGAATAAACACCAGCCGCAAGCAGAGATCAAAAACAACTGCGCCAATAGATAAATGAAGTGACCACCACATCTGAAGAGAATACATGCCGCAAAAAGAACACGGGGACAACCGCTGCCTGCAAACGAGACGACCGCAAAGGTGGAAAGGTGACACCGTAAACGAGGGAAAAGAAACGCAATCGGAGGTGATGTGACCACCGCGACCAGGGAGAAGGTAACCACCGCAGCAGAGCAAAAGATAACAGCAGACTACCCCCGCAAGGGCGTAGCAGCTAACAACCGCAGAGAAGGGGCAGACCGCAAAGTGGAAACAGGTGACGAGCGCAAAGAATGTTACACTACCGCCCTGGCAGAGGGAATGCCGTCCACGAAGGGGGATGATACTGTCCGCGAAGGCAGAGGGAATGTCGTCCCCCCTTCGGGGAGGGAATGGGTTCCACGAAGTGGGAGACGATGTCACCCACCCCCGCAAAGGGGGAAACGCTGACGTCCGCGAAGCGGGAAACGTTATCGCCCGCGAGGCGGCACACGCTGTCGATAAGTAGGAAACGTCGTCTTCCGCGAGAGGGAAAACCTTTTCCGCGAGGGGTATAACTATCTTCCTCAAGGGGGGAAACGTTTTCGTCCGCTAAGACGAAATAGGTGTCATACGAGAGTGAAAAAACATGCTGAACGGGCAGAAGGACCCGACGCTACCCGAAAGGCTAGACGCTGCAATCGAGAAAAAGGTGACAGCATTAGGCGGGGAGACCGCCAGGATCTCACACAGAGAAAACGACATCCACGACTGGCAGGAGGTTAACGACCGCAACGGGAGTAGAGACCTACGACAGGGGTGAGGATGACCTCAGCGACAACATCTTATGGAGACCGCAGCAGCCGAAAGCTGCCAGCGAATCAGACATTAGCAGCGACACAGGAGAGAGGAGACCGCAACAGACAAGATGCGACAGTCACGGACGAGAACGGCAACCGCAATAGACAATACCGGAACAAATGAGAATTGCGACTGCCACGAAGAAGGTACAACGACCGCAAGGAAAGAGTTAGGACCGCGACAAATATGTAGCGACCGCAGGAGACAACAACGATGACGGCCATAGTGGATAGTAAAAACCCGGCTGAGGAGAGAACGACGACAGCGAAAGATAATGGACGCCATCACCAAGGAAAGAAATACGCAACAGAAGAGAGTTACAACCGCCAAAGAGAACGTAAAGCCAAGAGGAGAGAATGCCGAAGTAACAGAGCCACAAAGGAGAGACTGGCGACCGCCACAGAGAAGAGAGCCGCCCGCCAAGGAAGAGTAGTACCGACCCCCAAAGAGGAAAGAGCACAACCATAGAAGAGAGTGCCGACCGGGACAGACAACAAAGCGTGACGGCCGCCACCGAGAAGACTGACGCGCGTCACAAAGAAGAGTGACGACCACCACATGAGAGACGACCACCACAGGAGAGTGACGACCACCACAGGAGAGATACGACCACCACAGGAGAGGGTGACGACCACCACAGGAGAGAGTGACGACCACCACAGGAGAGAGTGACGACCACCGCAGGAGAGAGTGACGACCACCGCAGGAGAGAGTGACGACCACCACAGCGGAGAGTGACGACCACCACAGGGGAGAGTGACGACCACCACAGGGGAGAGTGACGACCACCACAGGGGAGATATTAGACAACCACATAAGACTGACGCCAGACGAGTAACGACCGCCACAGAAAGGAGTGACGACCGCCACAGACAGGAGTGACGACCGCCCCAGAGGAGTGACGACCGCCAAAAAGAATCAAACCGCCACAAAGGAGAGAGACAGCCAGCAACACAGGAGAGCCACACCGCCACACAGGAAAGCCAGACCGCCACTCAGGAGAGCGTCACAGAGTAACATACGACCGAGATAGAGTGTGCAGACCTGAGGAAAAAATGCTGAGCGTGGTAAGAGAGCGTGCATAGACGAGCGCGCCTGAGGAAAACTGCTGAGAGCCTGGTAAGAGAGTGTGCACAGACGAACGCGACAGGAGTAACGCGGCGAGAAAGAAGACATTACCGCAACAGGGACGAATGACAACTCCAACAGAGGCGAGTCCCAACCACCATTGAACCGACAGTGACAACCTCGACAGAGACGAGTGCCGGCCACTACAGACCCGACAGCGACCGATGAAGGCCCGGGGTAGAGGAGAGTGCCATCGTCGAGCCGGGAGAATTACATGACCAACGGCGATAGCGACTACGAAGAGTACGCAACGCGACAGACGAGACTGATGACCGCGACACAAGAGGGAGACCGAGACAGAGGAAGGAAACCGCAACAGAGAAGAGGAACACCGCAGACGGCAGAGATGACACGCAGTAGAGTAGTGACTAACCCTTGAGAAGAGGTGCCGAGTGCAGAGTATAAACTGGGACAGGTAAGTACTCATCAGAGAAAAAAGTGACAAAAGAGGAGAGACAGACGACAACAGGGCTGGAGAGTGCCGACGACAGAGTAACGACGGAAACGAGGAAGGACAGTGACAAATGTAGTAGATTATAAACAACGAGAGAAACAACCTCGAAAGACGGCGACTGCTGAAACCGAGAAATGACAACGACCGAGGAGAGGTGACAAGCGCAATCGAAGACAGTGACCAAGGCAACCGGATAAAGACTACCAAAACCACAGTGGAGTGACAAAGACTGACGGCCGAACGCTGTGAGAGTAACGACCGTAACCAACGAGAGTGACAGCTGCAACAAAGGAGAGTGACGGCTGCAACCAAGGAGAGTGAGAGCCGAAACCAAGGAGAGACAGCCGCAATCGACGACAGGAACGCCCGTCACCGACGATAGTACCCGCAAGGCATGCGAGCGTCGACCGCCACAGAAGAGTACCCACCGCAACCGATGCCAATGACGGCCCTAACTGAGGAGTACACACCCATATCGGAATTACCAACCTCAATAGAGGAAATAGCCGGAAAATCAGCACAGAAGAAGTCTGGAGGAACGAGCACAAACCTCATGCTGACCTAAGAATTGCGTACTGGGCCGAAGTAGCCGTGCACAGTACAACGGCAGCAGCCGCAAAGAAAACTGGCACGTCGAAGAAAGGTTAATATGAGAATAAGCTCGGTCAATATACGCAACTACGAATACCACACGCATCGCTGGGAAAACAGAGAACTTAAGCGCACTGAGAGGAAAGAGAGAGAACAAGAGGACATGGCGGAGGCAGGAAAAACTCGAAGCCTGAGCACAAAGGCGGGAAATATTCCAAACGAGATCACGAAGGCTGGAATGAACCGGAGGAGTAGCGAAGGCCCGAAGAAAGGCAAAGTAACCTCAACAGCGGGGTGGGGCCAAAACGACACTACAATGGCTGAACGCAGGAAGAGAACATCGCATTCGGCAAACTAAGGAGGTACAACGGCAATCAAAACCCGACAGGAGAAATGCGGATACGAGCAAGGGCATAAAAAGAACACAGAGAAGAGCGCGTGGAAGGAGACGAAAAAGAGAATGCGGATTAAGCAAGGGCGTAAAGAGATCATAGAGGAGAGCGACGAAGGAGATACACCGACAACAATGATGTTCGGCTGAAGAGTAAATAGAAATAGTGACGGGAGAGCAAATGGCCCAAGGCGAGAGAACGAGAAAGGCAACCTAACCAGTGACGAGTCGAGGGCCAAGGAGCGCGCTGAAATGAAGACAGAAAAGGTCGAGGGCGAAGGAGAGTGCTGACATCAGGACATAGAAAAGGTTCCAGGATGAGGAAAACGAAAGTCCTAAGGCAGGGGATAGAGGGAAGGCGGACGGAAGATAAAATGAACATAATCAGGGTCGAAGAAGAGGTGGAGAGGGAAGGAGAGGCGTGGGAACGAGTCATCGAAAGGTTCCAGGTTTTAAGCAGGAGGGGAGGCAGACGAGGAGAGGGCCGGAGCAAAGGCAGCAGGTAACAGTCGATAAGAGGAAACCGAACTCTTGAGAACGGCAAAAAGGGGATACACAAGGCTCAGTAAATATCAAAAGAGAAAGGGAACATGCAATTCCGACCAACACATTAGATAACCACAGGCACAGCTCACAACGACAAGAAAAGAATGACCGCCGAAAGAGAGAACAAAACCGGTATGCTCCAGGCTGGGAAGGGTGGACGGCAAGAAAACACCAAACGAAGCGCATCCGGTGTCACGGCATAAAGGAGTTCGGGGAGATGAATAGCAGACAACGGGTAACCAAAGAACATAGCAGAGCGAAGACGAGAGGGAATGAGAAAGTGCAGACGAGGGCGTCTGAGGGCAGACGAACAGCGTAGAGCGCGATGGAAAGGAACGGGGTGGCATTGCCATACGAACAACATAGCTCACAGAGGGAGAACTACAACTGCGACACCGCCAGCTGCAGACATTGAAGCAAACGAGCGCGAAGGGGTATGAAACTCCGTACCATCGTAACGCTCTGCCTGCTCAGCGAGCTTGGCCATGTACACCCAATGCTCACGGCTGAGCTCCATCACCATTCGCTTCTTGGAAACGATTTCTCACGTGAGGACGTCGGAAGCTTGACCCGCGCGCACCGACTAGTACGTGATGACAGGTAAACGGTGGACGAAGACGGATAGAGGCGAGGATGGAATGGGAATGAGCTGTGAGCGATGAAGCAGCTAGGCGAGAGGAGTACTACAAAACGAGCAGCCTAGGTAAATACACCGCGCTTAATGGACGACGAAAGCGCTGCGCTGTACCGTGAGTCCAATAGGTACCCAGGAACAGCAGCCCGACGCGTTCCACTGCCTCCACAGTTGAAGAACTAGGGTTACAAAATGCGTGGAACACACCGAGAAGCTAGGTCAATGCCTGAGCGGTGTGGAGCAGTGGTAGCATTTGAATCCCCCCGCTCACCCTTTAGAAGGGACCCGGTGCGACACCGACAGATCGCCAAGCTATCTACCCCTGTTCCAAACCCCGCGATTTTCTGAAAACTCGCTACATTGGCACATGTCTCTCGCTCCACCGCTGTGCCGAAACCTGCCGCAGACCCCGTGTGAGCTGGTGCATTGGCGAAGCCTTTGGCCAGCTCGCGTTCAGACTCACGACAGGCGCCAGCCAGCTTCCAGGCGGGCCAGTCCCGTCGATTGGAGTCTGAACGTACCAGCCAATCAATCGCAGGAATCCTTCGCCCGTGCAGGGTCCCATGCACAGCTATGCATTTACAGGCTGGTCTGCCTGGCACTGCCCGACGTGTACGGCATCTGTTCCGTGGCCCCAACACCCGCCCAGAGCTCAGCTCCACTGCGCGGTGCTGCTTCCGCCCGCCCTCCCTATGCTCTTTCCTTAGGAGGGACGCCTGTCCACTACCTTCGTGGCAACCCTCGACAGGAAACTACTAGAGTGCCTGATTGTGTGATGCTATCTGAAATGCCTTCGAAGGGGTACCCCCGCTAAACGACTACACCCGTCTGGAAACCCCCCGCTGCGTCCGCCAAGTCGACCACCAACTTCCAAGATCAGGACGCATTTGTCAAGTGGCCGCACTTGTACGAGGGACTTGCGCCCTACCAAACAGCTACACCCAGCGAGATCATACATGTAGCTCAACTATCGCGCCTTCCAGTAAAGCGGGGTCCACTAACCGTGTGCTCACAACGGATGAGCGAAGAACAAAATTACACCAGTCAGTGGCCGTCATGATTTTTCGTGCCTGGGGTTCGAGCTCTCCTCTCCTCAACGCTGCCTATGGGCATCGCCACACCACTTTTGAAACCGTGAGTGGTTTCAAGAGTCGTCAGACTTTTGGGAGAGTTCTGTTTCCAAGAGGTCCCACCCTCCTTCGCCCCCCCTTGTTCTGCATAATAATTTCCCAATGGAACGATAGGCCTGGTTTCCAAAGCGCACTGCTCCCCACCAATAAGAAATGAATAAATCAAAATAATCATAAAAAAGTTTCAACCCTTTCTGCCCACAGTACTTGTGAAAAACAGACTCTTGGGGCCTCCCTGCACTACACTAGCGCTAAGCGCTCCGCTCCAGCGTTACCAGGCCGTTCCATGGCCCTACGGTCATCCGGGACACTACCAGCGAGATAGTGCCTCGGAAATACTGACTCTTCCTTCGTCTACGGAGTGAAGCAGCTATGGAGAACGGAGTTCTCTATAGATGGGTTCGGTTAGACCGCCGTCCAGCGCAGAGATAAGAGTTAGTAGTGTAGTATGGTAAATGGTGGATGGTGCCTCAGACTGTAGTTTTCAGCAAGGATATTGTAGTTGGCAGCGGGCACCTCTCAACTATATCCCGCGGTCATTATAGAACCAGACTTTAAGCTGTTCAGCCTTACGTGTCGATCGAGGCGTTCAAGGGCAGAGTCAATCGAGGAAGTCGAAGAGGGAAGCGGAGGAAGACCAGACGTGAGAAGAGAACCAAGGACAAACGAAGATGGCGAAGCCATAAGGGAGGCCCGTTCCCCCCCATCAGGCCCGTCAGACCCAGTGGACTATTTGGAGGACGAAGACCGTATAAGATCCCTCCTCGAACTCTGCTTCGACGATGGTGTCTATCCAACGGAGCTCGGCCCAGGCGAGATGGAGATTGAAGGCGGAGAGGTTAAGTTCACCTTAAATGTCAAGAAGAGGTTAACAGAGCCATAAATTTTCAGGATTTTTTCAGGGTCATTATAACAAACGTCTTATACCTTTTACGCCAGACTTGTCACCAGGCCATAGAGTGGACACCAAATAAACTAACAGCAAAAAAAAGAAATTAAAAAAAAATGATCAAAGGGGCCTTGAACCCCAAGGCAAAAGTGTGTTTTCATGCAAAATGCACTCTTTTCAGTTTTCAGGATTTTCAGGATTTTTCAGGGCTGGCCAAAACAGTGAACTCCAAGACCCCAACAAACACCAAACTTGACACACACAGACCTTGACAAAAAATAAAACAGAGCAAAAAATAAAAAATAAAAAATAAAATAAAAAACGATCTCCAACGCACTTTTCAGGGTTGGGGGTGTTACCTTGGGGCTGAATAGTAGGAGCCCCTGTTAACCTTTGGTGTAAATGCCTCTCTCGATGAAATAAAGGTCAAGTGGCTTACGGAGAGAACAGTTTCGGTAATTTTTAAGGAGAATGTCATGTTCTTGCCGAAGAGAGTCAAGGACAACATGATTCGTGCATTCCAAAACGGTTGAATCTTAGATAGCGAGAGATTCCCAGCGGAAGCAAAAAGCGGTCGGGTGAAGATCGAGGGGCCAAACGCCCTTTCCTACGTCTGCAAATCCAGGGAGGTAGCGAAATTTATGATTAGTAAAGGTGGTGTGGAATCCCAGTGGGGACGTGCAATTCAAGCCATGGATGACTCATGCAAAGTTTAGGAATTTGAGGCGAGCGGAGGACAATCAAAACTTCTCGGTTATTGCGCTTCAAGTTCCCCTTGATGACATGGCGTTCCTGTACTCACAGATTGAGAAAACGATTGGAAGGATTCTGTGGGCGCATCCTCTTGACTCAAATCCTTCCAGGCCGACACTAGTCAAAGCTAAATTTGACATTGATCCGGAGGTGCGAAGTAATATGAAAGATAAATTATGGATTATCATGTCAAAAGGGGATCAACTGGAGATTAAACTAGTATGTGCTACGACGATCAAGTGTGTAGTCGTTGTAGACAATTCTTCCATACAGAGGTGGAATGTCGAAAAGGAGGCGAAGCTCAACAAAGAGGAAAAGGCACGAGTAATAACTTCGGACAGCCACAGCAAGGCCAAACTCTCTCATTGTCAAGCCAGCGAAGAGGGCGTCATCAATAATATCAGATCCCATGAACCCACAATCTTCACAGAAGTGTCAGCAGGTTGCTAGGCAATAGGCAACCCCATGTTCTCCCCAGGTGGACACCTTCAGGCGAGTGACTCCTTCGCCAACATATTACACAGATGGCGGTGGCCATGTACGGCATTCAGGGCACCTTCCCAATAGGAGGTCCAAGCGGGAGTCCGCAGGGGCAGGTGAATTTCGGAGTTGGTCCGGGAAACACCTTTGTCAGGGGTAGTCCCCTTCTACAACAATCGTCATCTGCCTTCTATGCATATCAGCCAGCACTTGTTGACAGCTATCCGAGTTGGGACATACAAGGGATGCCTGCTAGCGGGGGAGATGGGTTGGGCCTTTAAGTTGGTCAACCAAGCCAGTACCCGACGCCCTCCCTACGACCTACGTTAGGAGCGAGCCATAATCGAGGATATGTACCTCCAAGCGGAAATAAGAACGGCAGTCAGGCCACTCCGTCCTCTAGAACAATGGAAGACTCACGACAACACCCTAAGTCGGTTGGCAAACAGCGAAGACTCAGTAGGAGTTCGGTGAAGGAACTTAGAACAAAAGCCTCGGAAGGCTCACCGACGCACTCCCCACGCACCGGCACGATAACAGTTACTCTAGGCATGAAGACCACGAGAGACCGCTGTTTAGCCTCCATTGCCACAGGGCAGACGTCCAGAGTGAAACAAATGCTCTTACCATTAGTTTGCGTATTTACAAGAAACAATTTATACGTGGTGGCGTGGCAGACAACGGCGTTCCCTTTTACATTGTTGTCTCACTAAGTAACAGATGCTCCCTCACTGCAAGTAATAACGCAAGGTCTTACCATGCTCTTCGTGAATCATTTCCCTACGAGAGTCGTCCCAGACTGTCCAATGGCATGGGTGATAACGAATGTAGCAATAAAGTTAAACTCTTCGTCCCTTTGGTAGATGCTGGAATGGTCGAAGACGGGTGGAGAAGGTGGAAAGACAAGGCATGAGGCTCATACCCTTGGCCTGTTTTGCAGAAAAGAGGAAGTAAGAGCTTAGCCGGATTGGGATCGCCCCCAGGCTGTCGGCAGAATGTCTCAGTGAACTTAGATTTCGTTTTCACAAGCATAAGAGACTAGACGCTCAATTCGTCCGAGAGGCGTTGATCGTGCCACGGGAAACACCCAGGGAGGGTGGTTAAGGGATCACGAGCACATCCCACATCCAATCGTCGAGGGGGGTAAGGATTAATGGTTAGACTCTTTATCACTTCCTGAAACGTATGCGGATTCGGCGACACAGCAGAGAAATGTCAAAAATTTAGGTTGAAGCAATGGATCCACGAGAACAGTATAGGAATCACACGCCTACAAGAGACCAAACTTAACGAAGAAAAGATAAAGAACTTGGGTAGTTGGTGGGATGGTCCACAAGTATGGTCTTTAGCCAGAGGATCTAGTTGGGGAGTAGCCCTTTTGCTCCACAGAGACATGAATATAGATATTATCAATTACTACTCAAACCTCTGGGGACGCTGGGCTTGGGTGAAGTTAGGTATCGAATCGGAGGAATGGGTTATTTCTACTGTATACGCGCCGGTCAAAAGTAAGGATAAAAAAATATTTATGAGGGACCTTCCCTGCAGTCTCCCCAATGTAGGGAACTTTATCATCTTGAGCAATTGGAACCAGTCTCTAAACAAAGATAGAACATCAGAAGTCAGGAATACAGTAAAATCAATTCTACCTCTGACTGACTTCATGATGAATTTTCATCTTCCGCCCCCTTAAGACTCTCATCTGATAGAATAGGGTTTCACCTGGTACTCGCATCCGGGAAGGGGAAAACAGTTGGACTACTTCCTCACGAGCAAAGTTGGATTGAACGTGTTGCTCAACGTCAATTTGACAAAGCATCCACTATCGGATCAAAGTCCAATCTCTGCGGACTTCTAGATAGGCAAACCTCAGGCGTTAGGCAAAGGATATTTTCGCTTAAACACAGAGAATCTCCCAGACCCAAAGTTGAAACAGTGGGTGGAGGACTTCTTGGCTAGATGGACAACAAGAAATGACCAGTTTGTGGGTCTGGCTGACTGGTGGGAAGTAGGC